TCTTACAAATTGGTTTGAATATAACAAAAAAATATTTTCTTAAAATAATTACATACTTTGAAAATAAAATAAATATACATGAATATGTGAGAAAGAAAAAAACATATAGAGTAAAACAATGAAAATGATTTATTTAGCTTGATTTTCTTATGGTGCGATGGTTAGAAATCAATATTTTTGAATCCTATCGATAAAGTAATTTTCTTATAGCCATAAAATATTATTATACATATGTATTATACATTTAATAGTATAAAAACAATGAAAAAATGAAGAAGTACATAAAATAAAGAAGATATATAATTGAAAACAAAAGTTTTAACCAAATATATAATCGAGCTCTTACAATGATATCTTAATTGAGCTTTCAACCCATGCAAGAACATTAAAAATTAAACAAAGAAAATATTGAGAATATCAGATATGGTGGAGGAGGATGTAAAAATGGGTATTTATAGGATAAAATATGATGTAAGTTATAATTCTAAAATAATTAAATCAGAGGAGTTATAATTATATTTTATAGTGTGTTAATTGAAGTTAAATGGAGGAAACAAATAGTCAATTGAAAGGTTATATAATTTAAGTTACAATTTAATAGTAAAGTGTGGATTTCAAGTATGAATTAAAGTATATGACTAAATGTGTTAGATATTTGGTTTAATTAAAAATAAATATTATAATTAAAAAATAAATGCTAAATGGACCAATAAGGAGAGAGTGAAACCTTAAAAATTCCCAAGAAATAATTTTATTTTTATTCTCTTTTTATATTCCTCTTAATTTAAGTTATATTTCTAGGTTTAATTATATTTTTCATCCTTGTAGTATATATAATGGATAGAAAATGGAATATCAAATTGTTTTTTAGATAGGAAATCAAGTATAAAATTCAAAGCTAAAACAAATTATAATATTCTTTGTATTATTACATGTTGAATCACAAACTAAATATAAGGATCATTATTCTTAAAAGAATGTCTTACAAACTGGTTTGATAATTATATAACAAAAAGTTTATTTTGTTAAAAAATTACATACTTTTGAAAATAAATTAAATATACATGAATATGTGAGAAAGAAACAAACATCCAAAGTAAAAGAATGAAGATGGTTTCTTTAGCTTGATTTTCTTATAACCATAAAATATTATTATACATATGTATTACATTTAAAAATATAAAAAACAATGAAGACATAAAGAAATACATAAAAACAAAAATAAATAAAATTGAAAACAAAAGTTTAAACTAAATAATTAATCAAACTCTTACAATGATATTTTAAATGAGTTTTCACCCCATGCAAGAACTTTAAAAAAAACAAAGAGAATAATGAAGATATGAGATATGGTAGAGAAGGATGTGACTTGTGAGAATGGCTATTTATATGATAAGAAGTGATGTAAGTTACATTTTTAAAATAATTAAATTAGAGGAGTTATAATTATAATTTATAGTGTGTTTAATTGGAATTCAATAAGGAAAACCAATAGTCTTTGGAAATTTATATAATTTTCAGTTTCATTTTATTAGTAAAGTGTGAATTTAAAGTATGAATTAGTGTATATGATTAAATGTGTTTTTTGGTTAAAAATAAATATTATATTTTAAAAATAAATACAAAATGGAACAATAAAGAGAGTGAAACCTTACTTTTCCATGTATGATTTTAAATAGTTTTCCACCAATAAGGCTTATAAAATTTGTTGTATGATGTATGATTAAGTCCTTTCATTTTCTTTGTCATTTGATTATAACTTATAGTGTAATTAAATTTTGTATTGAATGATTGTCATAAACATTTATTTATTTATTTATTTTGTTGAATGATATATGATTAAGTCCTTTCATTTTCTTTGCCATTTGATTATAACTTATAGTGTAATTAAATTTTGTATTGAATGATTATCATAAACATTTTTTTATTTTTTTTATTTTTTTAAAATTAAAGCCTTAAATATTTTTCCACCAATAAGGAGAGAGTGGAATCTTACTTTTATATATATGATTATTTATCTGTTATTATAACATTTACGTACACTTGATCGATACATTTTACCAATTACGAAAACGTATCCGATATTCAAAATATCTCTATAAATTTTTTCTTTGTGTAGTTTTATTAATTGTTTCGCCTCAAATTACTTCTTACTAGTGTGTAAGACTATAAGTCATACAGTATAACTAATAATGATTTTATTAAGCAATACATTTAAGTATTTTTGACACTTCAACAACGAAAATATATATCATAACATTAGCTTGTCATTCCATGAAATTAAAATACATTTTGAAACTCTATTTATAATAAAAATCTCTCCAATCTCATTAATTAGCTAGCAATTTCGACAGTTGGTATTCAGTGTTTTTCTAATGCATTATAATTAGCAACAAAAGCAAGATCTAAACTATATAATACTGTTATTTTTTGTTTTAATCTATCTTTTGACTCAATTATATATCAAAAACCAACCTTTATGGTTTAAATAAAGGAGTTTATTATATACGGACAACGCGATATAAGTGGATCAATCAAGCCCACCACGTTTTGCTGACTACGAAACGCGTAAGATAAGCGGGACAAGTAAAGTACCATATGATATCAATTTATCTAAAACAATAATAAGATAACCACTTGGTCTTATTGTATAGTCATCTCAACCGATCCGTACTTCTTAATTCATCAATAGACCGTACAGATCATTATCATCACCATCACCATCTCCTACTTTTCAAAACCAAGTAGTTGTATTAATATCGATCTCTTCCTGTCCTAAGCTGACGCTGTTTCTCTTCTTCTCTTTTTGTTTAAGTGGTGGTCCAAATAAAGCAAATGATATAAAACATGTAAACTAAGATCAGAACAATGATTCGTCTCGTTATAGCAATATATCAATAAGTCATGCATAAATTACAAACAAAAATTTCTTTTTGGAGAAAATGTGGATTTAAAACATGTCAATCATATGATCAATAATGGTATTAATGATGGAAAATAAAATTTCAGAAAAAAAAAAGAAACAAAGCCATACCTTAAACTTGAATCAAGAAGACCATAGTTCATATTTAAAAGCTCATGATCATACAGTGAATCACAACAATGTATAGCCCATATCAACGAGAGAATAAGTTGTATATAATGTAGTATATGATTATATATATGTCTCACCATAGTGTGTTAATATGTTTGTGTGTGTGTGTACATGTGGAGGTAAAGGATAGTTCTTGGCTAAACATGAGCCTGATTTTCATTTTCCGGCGAAGAGGCACCGTCGGAAGCTGCTCTTTTTCCTCTTTCCGACCGACTATTCTCTGCGAATTTAAGGCTACCTTCATGCAATCCTTGCCGCTTCTCTTCCTCAGTCCACTCAGCTGCGTAATAATGCTCTTCCTTTGCTTTCTTCTCATCACTTGTTGGTCCAAAAAACATACTTCCCCATTGAGGAAAATGTATAAACGCGACCAAAAGCGTAAAAATCGTCGCCATGATTCCCATTAGCGACAAGCCATCGGCAGTGTGGAATCTTGATGAAGAGAAAAAAACTAGCTGAGTTAGTCCCGATCCGAAATTTCCTCCTGCGCCGGTCAGTCCTGATATTAGCCCTAGAGAGCGACGCGAGACGAAAGGAACAATGCCGAAGATTGCCCCACAAGCAGCTTGCACGCCGACTGAGAAGAGCATCATGGCTAAAATAGCTATAGGAAGTGAAGTAGCACGGCCGAGCCAAACACAGAATAGACCACCAGAAGTTTGTAAGATCCAAAGGGTCCATAAACGCCCTCTCATGCCGAAATATCGAGCTGACATGTCAGATGCATAGCCACCAAGAGGACGAGCAAAGAAGTTAGCCATACCAAAGCTGGCTGCTATCATACCAGCTGTGTGGAGTTGCAGTTGAAACCTAATATACGTAAACCACAAGAAACAGATCAGGTTACTTGTGATTAAAGAAACTCAAAATCTTACGAAAAAAATGTTATGTATGTTAGTCCAAACCTGTCGTAGAAGTACTCTGAGATAACATTGTTAATTGTCATTTCGATTCCCATGGAAAATCCATAGAGAAGGAACAAGACATATGTTCTGTAGTTCATCACAGCATACCAAAACACCTAAAAAGAAACAAAACTAACTTTGTTTAGGAAACAATAATTCTAAGTAAACTTAAACTTATGTATACATTGATGTGATTTATTTGTCTTAAGTACCTTGGAGAACTTGTCTTTGGAAACATCTCCTTTCTTCTGTAGAGTACTTAGGTTTCCATCAGGAAGATCTTGTCCAAGAGTGAGCACAAGAATGCCCATAATCACCTGTAGAAACCCGGGGACGAAGAAAGCGATCCTCCACGCCATGAAAGGACTAGCTCCGGCGAGTTTGATGACGTTGAAGACCATAGGCATGAGTAGCTGAGTCACGCCTCCTCCCATGTCTCCCCACCCTCCGGCACATCCGTTGACAAGTCCGATGATCTTGCCATTGAACATGACGCTTGTCCAGTATTGACAAGACACGAACGTGGCTAGACAAAAACCAATCATGAACCGGACAGCTAAGTAGCCACCAGCGTCAGACACAAAGGACATACTGAACACTGTTGGAGCTGATAGCATCAGCAAAAACGCCGTCCCGTACCTGTTTCAATGAACATTTATAATTATTTAAATGAACATTTATAATGAAAAAAAAATAATAGAGAACATGCATTTATATGTAGATCATAAAGTTAAGCATACGACGAAGGTGATATTTCCTTAAGCTATAAAAAAAAAAACTGATTTGGTTAAATATTTCCTGACAAAATTTTGCAGAAAATTGAAAATATTTAGATTTTTAGAAGTCTCTTTAGGTATTTCCTATTAGCCTCATATATAATCTCTTCAAACTAAATATCATGAGTGGTTCCATGGAGATAATAGTACAAATATCTAAGTCATCACTGATCTACATGATATTCATTCACGATCTCTTGATAGATTCATAACAATACAAGAAAAAGTTTCTCAAAAATAACATTTCAAGAGGGGAGAAAATTATATATCAACTTTATAATATGAAAACTTGATTAGGATTTATCATAAAGAATCTTATGCGTCATATTGGTGAATCCTAGATCTAATGCATATGTTGTATGTTCGTGAAGTCCATATGATTTACGGTAACTGGTTAAAACACATTCGAATAAAGTTGTAAATGATCATAATTAAGTACCTAGCACCGAGCAAGTCACAAACAGCTCCCATAGCGAGCCTAGAGAAAATGGCTCCAGAAACCGAGGCGACTCCAGCGTTTCCAATATCATTCTTGGTCAAATCAAGATTATCTCTGATGATGGGAACGAGAGGTGCAGCCGCAAACGTGGAGATGAAGCAAGTGAAGAAAGAGATCCATCCTAAGTGGAAAGCTCTCATGTGTGGTTTGGCGAACGAGAATGGTTTGAACACTTTTGCTCTATGTTCTGAGTCAACCGGCAATGCAAACTTAGCCGTTTGATCATTGGACTGGACGGTGTGAGATGAAGGTACATCTTTGCCTTGGACAGAGAAGGAGAAGACTTGTTCCCTCGCCGTGACTCCATGCATGGAGGTACCAATTGAGCCTTCTTCTTCGGTTTGGTAAGCCATTATTGTTCCCAAGAAATGGGAGAATGAGAAGACTCTTTCTTCTTGAGAGACAACAACGTGCGTCTTCTCCTTCTCACGCCTTTGCTTTTGGTTTCTAAGTTTGTTGGTTTTCATTTTTTCATACCCGTATACATATATATAAGAAAATATGTATTAAATAACTATGAATTCAAAAAAAATTGAGAAAATAACTACGGTGTCAGATATTCTCTCTCTTCAATTACAATTACTCTTATACCCATTTTATATATTACACGTTTTTTTTAAATCACATAAACTATCTACATGATTCTATGTTATTTGGGTTTATCAAAAGATGTTAAGATTTAGATCTTATAAATAAACGAGAGTATACTTATGTTTGGGTTAATAAAATAGTGGTTAGGGTTTAGATTTTGTAATTAAACAAAATTATATTTCGGTTTGAGTTGATAAAATAGTGGTTAAGGTTTAGATTTTGTAATTAAACGAAACTATAATTCGGTTTGGGTTGATAAAATAATGGTTAGGGTTTAGATTTTATAAATAAACGAATTATATTTTGGTTTGGGTTTATTGAAGACTGATTACGGTTTTTTTTTTTTCTGATTTTAATTTTGATTTTTTCATATAACATGCTATTTTTTTTTGTAACATGTCATTTTTATCAAAAATACACAGTAGATTTTTGATAAGACGATTTAAGTCGAAGATCAATTCTCCCCAGATCGTTTTTTGATTATAGACTATCTGGGGAGAATTGATCTCTGACTTAGACCAACAAAACGAGAACCACTAGCCCACCACCATATGATTTGTATTATCATCTTAAGTAGATTTGTTATCCGATTATTGATAGTGTAATCGATATACTAGTTGATTTATCTTAACAGAGGGTACATACATGCATGACTCAATTAATCTAAATTAACATTAAGCTAGCTCGTAAAAAATTATGAGCCTAAGACCCATAGGTAGTTTTTTGGTTTCGAACAAACTTACATGATTAATTTATAAAATCAGCCGATTCTCTAGTCGGTTAATGTTAAAGTGATTAGACACAATCGGTATCGCATATATTTGCATATTACATGAATGTTAAAAATATATGGAAAAAGTAAACCTAAGTTTCTTGTATATGCCAATAATATATGGAATATCCAATTTCCGAAACAGAAGTAAACAATGTAATATGGTCGTATTATATATAACACATACTCCATGTTTATGTATCACGCTGTCAACTTTTTAATAAATTATAATTACAACTTGGTAGACCTCACGAAGACATAACCAAAATGCTAACCAAAATACTAATAATGTTGTCATCCCGTGTTCGATATAATAATATTATCATTAGTCGACGATTAACTTGGCTAAAGCTATATGCGAATGCCACAAAATTGACTAATGTTAATTTCACAATCCATAATATACAATTAGATATGTTACGTACATATGTATACCTACCAAAAAGTAATCTAGTGTTGCTGTCCGAGAACGTACCAATGGTGCGTACGGCACCAGCATATCAACTTGATCGTCGACTCTATTACAAAACATTTGTATTTATATTATACCATATTTTATTTATGTTATTGAAGGTGTATATTGATCACATGTGATTGCTACATTTTACCGAAGAAGCAAGCATTGACTATATTGCATTGAGCATTCGAAGTTGATGGTGTATATATTTGATCACATCATCAAATTTATATGATGGCTACTACATTATACATGTTTATATTAATTGATTCAAGATATTCAAAATTTAAATGATGATTACATGTATATATAAATGAACCCACGATGAATGATGGTTGAGTAGTCATCGACTCATACGTGGGACTATAACTTGTCGAATTATAAGATAGTCAGAAGCTCTTATCAAATGAAAATTGAAAACTGTTGAGTATTATAATGACCGTACAGATCATGTGTCTCAATCACTATCACAAAATCCAGGCTGTGTTAATTATATATGTATTAAGCATATTCTCTGTTTCCATTTAACTTTCAAAAGCCAAATTAAAGATTAAAAAGATTTAAAATGTATTTCTCATTACTTCAAATTTTCCCACTTTTTAGACAATTTTTGTCAACTTTATGGACAATTTTTAAAAGGTAAGAAAGTCAAAAGTCTTCAAATGAATATTAATTTACTTCGATTAAATAATTATTCTAAAAAATGGAGACAATATTTAATGGATTTTGACAACTTGTAACTTGATGTCGAACTTGCTAGAAGAGGAGAGTATGAAATAAGACATGAAAATTATAAATATTACATTGGCCAATATAATGAAATAACTACTACTATACTTGCTTTTTAATAGAAAAAGTTTAAAAAAAAAAAAAAAATTTATATACATGTCTTCAACAACCCCTGTTTTAACTAAGGAAGAGTTTAACTTTTTTTTTTTGGGACTGTTTACTTTAAAAGATTTTTGCTGCTTTTTTAAAGTAATATCTTCGTAATTTCATCGATATGTCTTTTATTTTTTTGTTATTGAAGTTTAACTAATTATTCTTTTTTTTTGTTTTGTATTAAATGTAGGAAAATGGAGAGGTTTAACTTAGTGGTGATGCTCTTTACCATCCTGGCGAGTTCTTCAACTTGGATACTGGTCGGCCACAGGTCTACAATTTCCACGCTCTTATCTGATCATGATTAAGTTTCACTTATGTTTTACTTAAATTTTATTTACTTTTTGCTTATGTTTAATTAGATTTTAATTTCTAAAAATTAAAACATGTAATTATAAATGACATACAAAAACCTTGGGAAATAAAAAAAACTTCATAATAAACGACACATTCGTCGAGATATTATTAAAATCAAATTTTTACATAATCTTTTTTCTAAAGGTTTGATAGTAGAATTACTTTACAAATGCCATAAGCATTAATATCAATTATACATGGTATTAGTATCAGTTTGACACTAAACTCTTCCTTAGTTCAAACATTTTATTTTACACATATTTCTCAATATAAAATTATGTTCGCACACTGATGCCTAGTATATCTTGTGCATGAGAACAATAGTTTGGAATTATTAAGTACTCTCGTATTTTGTAATCGAACAATATATGTTATCTCCAAATCCTAAAAGATATACTTAAAATTATATTTTTTGTAGAAGTAAATAAACATCTCTTTATTCTCAAAACGAAATTTAATAAATTAATAATTACTCTATATTATGGTTGAATACAGTATGCGTTCGTATCTTATGAGGATAGCACGCAGTTGTATGGCACAAAGGCCGTAATCAACGTTTGGGATCTGGCGATAGAAGAAGGAGCGGCATAGATATCTATAGCTCAGATTTGGATTGCGTCGGGAAACTACAAGAGTGGTGATCTTAAAAAGGTACGTACGCTTAGTTTAAATTCTACATGTTAATTTTTTTATTATTAACTTTCTAAATTTTAATTATATATGTAATTACAAACCACTAAAACAATAATTTCTTTTCGTTATTCAAATATGCCTGAGATGTATATAGATAAGAGGCCTAGGTTATTCCACTTTTGGACGGTACGTTTCATTCTTTATCACTATTAATTTATACTATATATTCTACTTTTTTCGTTTAGTTACTTTACAATACATAAATTATTATTATTATTGATAATATAAATTTTTCATTTATTGTTTATAATATGGATTTCATATTTAATTACTTCAGAGCTAGTAATACTATTACAACTTCAATAAATAAAAGATTAAACGGACCACTACTACTTTAACTGAATCATGGAGTACTCTTTATTTATAAATCTACTTAGCCTTTTTTATCATCACTAAAATTATAATTATAAGAAAAGACAACGGGATTAAAATATATTGTTAAGAAAATAATAATGTACCAAAAAATGACTTTATGTTTCCATTTTACTTTCAAAATCCAAATTAAAGATTACAATGTATTTCTCATTACTTCAATTTTCCCACCTTTTAGACAAATTTTGTCAATTTTATGGACAATTTTTAAAAGGTAACTAAGGAAGAGTTGAAATTTGTTTTCGGGACTCTTTATTTTAAAAGATTTTTGCTGCTTTCTTAAAGTAATATCTTCGTAATTTCATCGATCTGTCTATAACTTTTGTGTTATGAAGTTTAACTATTTTTTTTTTTTGTATTAAATATAGGAAAATGGAGAGGTTTAACTCAATGGTGATGCGCTTTATTATCCTGCCAGTTCTTCAACTTGGAGTTTCAATCCCAGTTTTTACTAATTAACCTCTTTGAGAGACTTCTTCTATATATATACGAGTCTTCTTACTCTCTATATATGACGATGACGAGGCTCCTTCGAATAATCCACAATCTCTTACCTTAATCGCATTGCATACCCGACTCAAGATACTTAGGAATCCTAGAGCAAAATCAGATTGCTGGAAATTGGTGGTTAGGTCTAGGGCTTAATACTGTGGCGGTCGGATATTGGTCGGCCACATGTCCACAATTTTCATACTCTTATGCGATCACGCTTAAGTTTTACTTGTGTTTTGCTTAAGTTTTATTTATGCTTTGCTTAATTTAATAATATTTCTATTTGTAAAATTCAAAGGATGTAATTATAAATGACATACAAAGACCTTGAGAAATAAATAAAATTTCATAGTAAACGTCACACTTGTCGATATATTATTAAATCAAATTTTAACATAATAAGATAAGATAACATTTACATAATTTTGTTTTCTAAAGGTTTGATAGTAGAATTACTTTACAAATGCCATAAGCATTAATATCAATTATACATGGCATTAGTATCAGTTTGACACTGAACTCTTCCTTAGTTAAGACATTTTTTTTACATATATTTCCCAAATTAAATTCCTTTCGCACACTGATATCTGCCAAATTAAATTCCGTTCACATATATTTTGTGCATGAGAACAATAGTTTGGAAATATTAAGTACTCTCGTATTTTGTAATCTAACAATATATCTTAGATGTTGACAAAAAAAAAAAATAGATATTTTGTTATCTCAAAATCCAAAAAGATATACTTAAAATTTTATTTTTGTAAAAGTAAATAAGCATCTCTTTATTCTCAAAATTAAATTTAATAAATTAGCAATCAATTAATAAATAAATACATTAAAATTAGTATAAATAACAGGTACAACTTCTTGATGGGATCGTTGCATCAAGATGTGTTCCTATGGTCTTTTTACGACAAGATCGTTTCTATAGGTACATTAGAAGTCAACTTCTCTGCCATATAACAGTTAGTCATTAGTCATATGACCAATCAGGTTTGGTAATCAACTTCACAATTTGTTGTATAAGTTCATAAAGTGTAAAAGGCCTTAATCGATTTGATACGTGCTTGAACCAAAAAATTCTCAAAAGACGTTGATATGTTGATATGTCCTATTGATCAATCCTCGTTGTTGATATGCTTAAGCCCATTATCTTTTTATAAGTGTTGGATAGACATAGACTAATTCAAGGCATGGATCACATAACTTGAACCGTTGGACTTCGAAATTCTGTTTAAACATTACTAGATTTTGGATGTGTATGATTGTTGTTAGTATATACTATATACTATATACAGTATAGTAAAAACTAAAGAAGTTACTTGTTGATTTGAAAATTCATAAAAGTCTGTTTTCAACTTCGTTTAGAACAGTCTTATCGGTGAGAGATTCTTTCAAGTTTAGTCAAAACTAATTTTTTTTTTCTTTTCTTAATATCGACTACTAAGAAATAGACACGTATTAGAAGAGTCTATTATGTTTTACCTTTTTAGTTTTAGATAACTTTGACTATAAAGAAGATTCACCTATTAGTGGTATCAAAGCAAGTTCCATATAATAGTTAAAATCTTTGATCGTGGAAGAGTTTTGTACCATGGGAACATGCTTCAAAGATTTAATAAAACTGTAACATCAAAGGAACATAACATAACAACAACATATAAGGTAGTCTTATTACAATGCATTGGAGAATGGAGGAAAAGCAAAAAACACTCAAAATTTCAAACTAGTGTTTTGAAGTTTCTCTTTGATGATCATGTCGATTTTGTTCTCCATTTCAGGACTCAAATAGTTCTTCCAATCACCAACTTCTCCTTTACGAAAAAATGTTTTGTTATCTCTACCATTATATAGCTTTCCAGTCTTATTGATCTCCAAGCTACTTAGATTACGTAGAGAGCAAAGATCTATAACCTCATCCATCGTTCCGCTCTCTTCTTCTTCCTTAGTAAAAGGACAACCTAAGAACTCAGCAAGTTTCTTGATCTGCTCACGAGGTTCTTTTTTCATATCCTCAAACCTCATGAACAACACATGATTTGGATCTTCTAAGCTTCCTCTCCAGTAGCTTAAGACATGGTCCCAAAAAGATCCAAAAAGATTGACTCCCTTGCAAAAATACTCAAACGTATCCTCGAGACTGCTTACAACTTCATCGTTACTTTGTTTCATACAAAAGAAATGCCAATAAGAAACCAAAGTGTCTTTCACGTTCCTACACATATACACAATCTTACAAGGAGAATCTTTAAGACCTTCTTGGAGAGGATGTAACGGCATGTGTGTGGAGAACAGCCTCGGAGACGACAAGAACTTGGTCAGGTCCGGTTTCTCGCTATAGTAATAAAGATTCATCTCAAGGTAAGGTACAAGAACATGAGGGTTATCAGAAAGAAGAGGATGGTGATGATCTTGAGAAGGATGTTCTGATCTACGAACAAGTGCGAACGTGAGTGCTTTGAGCCAAGTTGTACCACATTTAGGGAACGAAGCAACGATGACATCGGTGTCTTGAGGCTTGAAGTTTTTCTGGAAACGGAGGACACCTTGGAGAGCTTGATGAGTATACCAACATCCTTGGTACTTACAAATACTTTTACCACAAGAATCTTTGTCTGAAGGAAGTGAAGAGATGAGAGTCTTTGTATCTTCGTGTAAGTCAACGTTTCTCATCACAATCTTTTTCTCATCCATTTACAAACAAATGTGTTTTTTTGATATTTCTAAACTGGACAACACTATGTGGTCTATGTATATATTAACATATATATTAACATCATCATTATGATTTGTGCTGTTTGCGTAAACGCAGCGGTTTCAACCGACATTAATAATGTAGTAATATATTTGTCAATTATTGTGGTTTCTGATAAACAATCAAATTATATTTGTTAATTATTGTGGTTGGTAGGATTTGTTGTAGAAGTTATGATTTGGTTGTGGCTTGGAGAGTTGGAGTCTTTCCACATCTGCATTTTGGTATATGTGTAAAGCAATATAATTGACGTGAATTTGGAGCTATATACCAAAATGAATTATTGTGTTTCAATTCTATTTACTTTGTACATACATACTACATTTTTCCAACTCTACTAAACTACTACTGTTTTATTCAATTTCTTTTTCATTTTCATGTGCTAAAAATATGAGAACTTACGTCGATAAGTTTTAGACGCCAAAGAATATATATTTACTTCCCATTCAAATAGTAGATTTTTATTTTATTTTAAATTGTCTTTTAGATCGCAGTTCTCTCTCGTTCTAAGTATGATCCTCAATGATGTAGTACTTTTTGCCAATTAATTATCGAACTCAATTTGCAATGATTAACTCACTATGAATGCACTAGCTCACTTAATCTAAGCTATAAAGATTAACTTTGATTCCTAACTATGACTAATAAGGCAATTCAAATCAATTAAAGACAAAATCAAACAAAAGGAAACAAGATGCAAATGACTAACACAATTCGAAATGAAACAAAGCGAAAAAGAGCAATTGACTAAGCAATAAATAAAGACGAATCCTCGGGTTAAGGTAATTGACTAGGAGCGATAATGAAGCGGATTATGGAGCTAACAACTTCAAACAAGCATTAATCCAAAGGCCAAAGACACTATACTAGATTAATCCATTTCCATGACAATAATCACTTTATTAATCAATCAATCATCAACTTCTTCCAAAGGCAATTAAATGATCAACAAGCATTAATAGCAAGTCTATCTAGCAACTAAACACCATAATCAACATTTTCCAATGGCAAGGAGTGTAAAGCACTTAAAAGTTTTGATTCGAGAATTTCATCGAACACCTTCCGGGCGTGAAATTCCTAAGTTCTAAATCAACATTAACAAAGTTGATTTAGCTTTATTAACAACCAATAAACAAGGATCTTAAACTATCTAATCCTAAACTCCATAACCCAACTCCAAAATCCTCCTAATCTACCTAACCCAAATATTCATAATGACTACTCACTCGTGGTCATGAAAGCACAAAGTAAGGTGTTTGATCTTTGTGAAATCATGATTAGAGATTGTAGATTAAGAAAAGGAAGAAATACTTATATTAAAACTTGAAGATTCAAATACAAAATCAATAAGAGAACCTTAATCTTTCTTAAAACCCTAGAACAAAAGCATAGATATTCCCAATTGGGATTAGAGTATTTATAGAAAACATGGTATTAAACCAAAACAAATCGGAGATAACCGGGACAAACCGGATTTTTGCAGAAATTCAACAGTCAACCGACCTGCCAACCGACCGGTCGGTCGGCTGGTCGATTGATCGATCAGTTGAGTCATGTCCGAGGCTTCTGATAGATGTCAACCGACCTCTCCACCGACCGATCGGTCGGTCGGCTTTCTCTTCCTTTGCTGTTCTTGATCTTCAATCTGGATTGATCCAATTTTGACTCTAAAACTTGATCTTTTACTCCATTTGTGCTCCAAGTACATAGTAAGACTCAACAAATGCAAAATGCAAACTAAACACACTAAATATGATTTAAAAAATGCATAAAACTATCCTAAAAACAATGTTCAAAAACCATTAAAAACCATAGACATCACTCAAGTTTAGATTTTCAAAATTAAACGGAAACTTCAGTTTTTTGTATCGAAAAACATTTCAAGATGGCTAGAAACCTTTCTTCAATTTGTATTCTACTATGTTGAGTTACTTACCTTCGCGACAAGACTCGCTATTTTTCCTTTTTTTGGGTAAAAAGTTAAATTTTATACCAATTTTCTGAATTTCTCTGTACAAAAGTTAAAAGAGCTAGAAATGGAAATTAATACAACCAAAATAAGAAGATAAAAGAGAGGGAGAAGAGGAGGAGGAGGTGGGGAAAGAAAGAAGACGATCCCAAAGCAGCCGATCCAAAGCAGCTTGAAGCTGACGCACCGTTAAAGAAACACGGGTGAAGATTCTAGCATTTCCTTCACGCCACAGCAGGTAACAGGTTGCTTACTATTGATTGATAATTGAGTTTGGTTAAGAGTCGCAATGTTTCAGTGGTGATGTTTTGGTCGTGCTGTTTCATTGGAGAGTTACAAAGATGAAAAGACACATCTCATTATGTTGTTTGCGTCTGTTTGTTTCTTATATAAACATGTATGTATCGTAGATGCAGCATAACAAGTTTCAGAATAATAAGTTTCAAAATAATAAAATTCAGTTTATTTCTTGTCTTCTTCACAAGAGAAGAGACAAAAGGTCTCTTGCTCTGTTTTTCATTCTTCCTTTCAATATTCCAATATGGTATCAGAGCTTTATTGGTCTTAGGGCCTGTACAAGCAAAACAAAAATAAGAAGAAATCTGCTGCAAGTAAAAGAGAGATGAGTCAACAAATTTATGGTGAGAAGGATATTGAAGCAGAAGAAGTTGTCATTTAGATGGAATTAACCGGAGGCAAATGCATTACTTGTCTATGAAGAAACTGTCAACCAACATCAAGGTTTGAAGAGCTTAGAAGGAAGCTTAGAGTTAAGCCGAGATATGATTAAGGGAGAGTGTTGAATTATAATCATATCTTGTGGATGTTACATTTACATAAGTTAGTTACTTGATCCAATAGACACAAGTATGAAGAGACACAACTCTTTGTGTTGTTATGTCTATTAGTTTTCTATTTAAACCAATTGTAACGTCATGTAAAATAACAAGTTTCAGAATAATAAGTTTCAAAATAATAAAATTCAGTTTTGTCTTCTTCACAAGAGAAGAGACAAAAGGTCTATTGCTCTGTTTTTCATTCTTCCTCTCAATATTCCAACATGGTATCAAAGCTTTATTGGTCTTAGGGCCTGTACAAGAAAAAAAAAAATCATTAGAAGTCCGCTGCAAGAAAATACGAAAGATGGAGACAACAACCTATGATGAGAAGAAGAAGAAGGTAAAGAAGAAGAAGAGGAAGAAGAAGAAGAAGAAAGGAAAGAGGTGATGACAAGAGAGATCATCATAAACCTTCACAAACAGAATCATCAAGAAGAAGGCTCCAAAGGGATGATGAAGATAGGAAATCTTCTCAAAAGAAAATGGAGAAAACAAATGTGAAGTTAGAGTTGTGGAAGGAGGTTCTGAAACTTGTTCGAACAAGACGTGAAGTTCACGCACAAAAGGTTATAAGAGATAACCGAAAAAGAGACGTCAAAAAGACGTTATGGTGATCAAAAAGAGACACCAAACAATAAAGGAAGATGCTTACCTCGGAGATAAAAGAGCATAAATCGGTTGAAGAGTAAACCGAAGACAACGTGAAGGAGATTCACGCGTAAGACGTCAGGGAGACGTTTTGGTGATCAGAGGAAGACACCAAACAAAAAAAATGAGGATGCTAACCTCAGAGAAAAATGAAGCATAAGACGGTTGCAAAGATAACCGAAGAAGATGTGAAAGAGTTCACAAACAGATTTGGTGATCAAAAGGACACCAAGAAGAAATAAGAAGAAAGCTCACTTAAAACAAAGTTAATGAAAAAGGTTGCGAGAACAACCGGAGAAGACGTGACAAAACACACATGGAGAAAGGAAGAAACATCATCAAGAGTAGATGATGGAAAATGGTTAGTTGACACAGATGTATTAACTACATGACTAAGGAGGTGTCATACTTCATCACTCTTGATAAGAGTATCAACATACTAATCAAAGTGGGGAATGGTCAACGAGTAATCACGGCAGGGAAAGGGAATATCCAAGTGATGACAAGCCAAGGAGAGAAGATCATCAAAGAGGTGTTTCTAATGTCGTATGTAGCAAGGGCAACTGTTGTTCCATAAATGATCCTCAAGGAAGAAGGATACCGAATATTAAAACGAATCAGAAGAATTTGCCTATGAGGAAACTGGCAATCAACGTCAAGGTTCGAAGAGCTTAGAAGGAAGCTTAGTCTAAGACCAAAACTCAATTAAGGGGGAGTGTTGATTGATAATTGAGTTTGGTTAAGAGTTGCAATGTTTCGGTGGTGATGTTTCGGTCGTGCTGTTTCATTGGAGAGTTACAAAGATGAAAAGACACATCTCATTGTGTTGTTTGCGTCTGTTTGTTTCTTATATAAACATGCATATATCGTAGATGCAGAATAACAAGTTTCCGAATAATAAGTTTCAAAATAATAAAATTCAGTTTATTTCTTGTCTTCTTCACAAGAGAAGAGACAAAAGGTCTCTTGCTCTGTTTTTCATTCTTCCTCTCAATATTCCAACACTTACAAGATCCAAGAGGAAATAGAGTGAAGTCCCATAGGAGGAGAAGGCCACACCTTTGCAGCAAAAGCTTCCCAAACTGCTGAAGAGAAAGAGCAGTTGAAAAAGAGATGATCATGCGTTTCAATCCTGGAGGAACAAAGCAGACAATCAGCTGTGAAAGTAACCCCCATGCTCTAAGCCTATCCTTGGTAGGGAGCCTTCCTTGGAAAGCCAACCACGTGATAAAAGAATGACGTGGTACTTCTTCTTTAAACCAGACCACCTTGTTCCATGGGAGCAAGGGAGAGTGGGAACGTAATTGCTCCCAAGTTTCCTTAGAAGAGAAGAAAGAAGAAAAGGATCTAGAATCTCGGCGCCAGAGGTAGATATCTGAATCATTGCTTTCCTCAAGAGGAGAAATAGAAGTAAGCAAGGTCATAAAATCCTGCTAGTTTTCAGAGCGAGCAACATGCATTTTCTAATGGCCCTCATGGATAGCAGAAG